GCTTTGGATCGTCGTTTCTTCAGTGGTTTTCGTTCATGTTTATTTGTATTCTAAACGATTTCGAAGCTGGAAACAGATAACGAAATGAATAATTTCAGTTAATATATTAAATCAGCACAAATAAGTAACTGATTTTATTTTAGACACAGTATGGAAGTGTTTCGTTATGCAATTATAAACAATTTCTTGAACATGATGTGATAAATCACATTCGGAGGTTCTGACTTCATATTTGGTTTTAAAAATATACTGAACACATTTTTGGATTTCTATTATAATAATTGTTTTTTTTTGTAGGGAAAATTGGAGCTAATCACTGGCTGCTCTGCAATGACAATGGAAGTTCAATTATTGGACAAAGAAGGGAAGTTTCTTTGTATTCTCAACAACGAAGATGCTATGTTGGGTGCCTATCCAGTTGATGACAATATGAGACTGCATGTAGGTATATTTACTCGAATTATTTTTGTAGATGTTGTACTAAGTAGCCCCCTGGTAATATTAAGCCACTGTGTAGAGTATTAACACAACTGTTTAAACAGTCATGATAGTTGATGATAGTTGTGATGGTTTCAACTTTCATTCACTCTCATTGACTATCATGGTTGCATTCAAACAGTTCATGGCAGTCTCCTTGATATTCTCTTTACCCACACAAATCTGGCCAAGAGTAAGGAACAGACCTCCCAGTGTTGTGGTCTGGCCTTGTTATTGTTTACACAGGCCTCCAATCAGCCTGTCTTAATGTCGCAAGTACACACATATATATATATACTAGTACTTGATTTTTCTTGAATTTTCCTTCTCAAGGTTGTTGATAAAGATCCCACTAAAAAGGTCGGTGAATTTGAAGATTTATCAGCTGTGGAAAAGTATGAGATGAGCACAGAAGATTACTCTAAAAGATCTGGTAAGCTGAACTAGTAGAGCTTCTAAAAGGTGGTGCCCAGAATCTTAAATCAAGTAATAGCTTACCAACAACCTGCTGGTAACTATAGAAACATTTCTACACACCACCAGTAAACAGTAGTTTGCAGAACCTTAGACGGACCAACAATTCTGCAGTTAAAAAAAAGAGTGATAGGTCATGCTGGCTGTGTTCAAGACCTTGTTGAACTTTTGATTTATCTTGTCAATTTGACTCGGGCAAAAAAAAGGTGTTTAATTGTCTTGTTCTCTAAAAATGCAGAAGATATTAGACTCCGTGACATTTATATGCACCTTTCATGGGTCGGAATAACCCTTTACACCCTTTTCTCCCTACTGTTCTCCATGCATTTCTTAAGGTGTTGACAAGGAGAATTTGTTTAACAATCACAATCTGCTTTAGTTGGTGATCATTTCCTTTACTCTCGTGACCTTAAAGTTTGGTTCAGGGGTGATATTGTAAGGAGAAATTAGATGCTAATCATGATAGGTAAGTACAGAATAACCAATAAACTAGACCTACTGGTGTAACTTTTCTTGACTGTCCAAGAATTAACTATTTGTATTTCAGATTCGGTAAGAGCCTTCAAACAAAAAAACAAGTTGGGCCAGTTTAAAGAGAAAACTCCTGAAGAAATTGAAGAAGAGAAAGACAAAGAACGACAAGAAGAAACTGCTGCAAAAGCAATCACTGTTGGTTCTCGATGTGAAGTCACAGTCAGTAATGCTCCTGCTAGAAGGGGTGTAGTCATGTTTGTAGGTAAGACTTTTGCATTGGGTATCATGCATGTTTTTGCAAAAGGTTAGTCCTGACAGGGCCTCAAGCTTTTACAACCTGAGCCATTGTTATCATCAGAGTGGAGTGAAGAGGTCTTAAGATTAGTCAAGTGATTCAAGTTTGGTTTGTGGAAAGTGATTGCTTGGGGTTTTTTAACCCTTTCACTCCCAAGATCTTATTAGTAATTCTCCTTACTATCTGCCATACAATTCTTATGATGTTAGTTCAGAGAATTTGGTATTGGATCAACTAATAATCCCATAATTGATATTCTTATCTATTCTCATTACCTACCTGCTTGATATGGTATTAATATTGTAAGGAGAAATTCTGTCTTGGTCTCTTGTGGGAGTGAAAGGTTCAATTATCATTTTGGCTTTAGCCCTTGAACTCTCAGGGGTGACCAAGACAGAATTACTCTTTATTATATCAATACTAGCAATGTCAAGCAGACAAATTACTTGGATAAATAAAAATACCAATGAGTGGATTGTTAGCTGATCCAATCCAAACTAATATCATTAGAATCGTATTGACAGTAAGGAGAATTACTACTGAGATCCTGGGAGTGAAAGGATCTTAAGACTCATGTAGGTTTCTTCAGTTTGAAGTGGTCACTTTTGAATTTCTTGCAAAGTTGGGTCATGTCATTCAGTATGGTTGCTTTAACTCCCAAGATCTCATTAGTAATTCTCCTCACTGCTTTCATACAATTCTGAGAATGTTAGTTGCGATGATTTTGTATTGTATCAACTAATAATCCCCTAACTGATATTTTTCTTTGTTCTCATCACTTGTCTGCTCGGCATTTTATTGATACTGTAGGGAGAAATTCTTTCCTGGTCATCCACAAGAGTTAAAGGGTCAAGTCATTTTGTAGGGTGCAAAAAGTCAGGACATGTGTTGATAGGAGTCTGTTTTGAAACCCAGTGGTTTAAACCTTTAACTCCTCAACTCCCAAGATCTGATTGTTAATTCTCCCCTCTAGCTGCTACACATTTCCTTGTAAATTAGTTATGAGAGCTTGGTGCTAGATCAAGATAGCAGCTTCTACCTGATAAGTTCAAATATTCTCATTACCTGTTTACTGAATAATGTATGGATTTTATATGGAGAAGTTTCATGTGAATCACCTCTGGAAGTTAAAGGGTTGAGTCCCGTGAGTGACCAAGACAGAATTTCTCCTTACAATTTATCCATACAATATCAAGGAGACAAGTGATGAGAATAAAGAAAAGTATTAATTAGGGGATTATTAATTGATCCAATACCAAATTCTCCAAATTAACATCACAAGAATTATATGGCAGACAGTAAGGAGAATTGCTAATGAGATCTTGGGAGTTAAAGGGTTAATATTCAAGACAGGATTATTACAAAACAACCTCTTTTCAGGCTCAATAGTTTTTATAAGTGCTCAACATCTAATGCAGTAAAAAAATTTAATATGAATAAGAGTTGCTATGAAAGGTGATGAACAATGCCATGCCCATTCAACATGTTCAGATTTGGAAGTTGTTAAGCTGTGATTTAAATTCCATTCTTCAGCAATGGCCAATGATGATTCTCATTTCTCCTTTTTAGGGCAAACAAACTTCAAACCTGGCTGGTGGGTTGGGGTTAAATATGATGAACCTTTTGGAAAAAATGACGGCAGGTATTGAACTTTAATTTTTGAAATTTTTTATTTATGTCTTGATTTAAATCTGTCATGGCTACATTTCAATGAGATTGTACATGTCTGCAGGTGTAGTTTGAGTGAAGTTCAAAAATAGTTTAATTTGAAGTTTGGCCCTCAGCCAAATTATGATCTTAAGTTTATCAATCAAGGTGAAAGGATAAAATAATTGTTTTAGTGGGTTTTGAAAACTTTTCAATTGGTGTTGAAAAAAATTAACAATATATTAAAAAGTCTACAAAATCCATGAGGTGTTTGAGCCAAAAAAAAAGGAATGTCTGGGTCAAATGTAGATTTAAAATGGTAGTTTAATATGACTTTATTTTTAAAATTTGTATTTTCATTTATTTTAGATAAAGTACAATCTTCATAATTCTTACCAAAAAAAGAAATGTTCTAATCTACACTGTCAATAATTTTAACCTGAATTCCATATTATCCCGCAACATACTATCAAACTTTGACTTTGTTAACTTGCTGCATGATGCCAATCTTACTTTTAAAATTTCTTGAGATCAGATGCCATTTCTACCTGCCTACAAGCAGGAAGAGACTTATATCAGACAAAGCTATTTAAAAATTCTACAGCAAGGGTACTGTAGCTTCATTTTATTCATGTCATACCTTCATGTCTAATGACTGTAACTGTTGCTTGTTTTCCATTTTCAGTGTTGCTGGAAAAAGATACTTCACATGTCCACCCAAATATGGAGGATTTATCAAACCCAAAGATGTCACTGTGGGTGACTTTCCAGAAGAGGATTTAGGCTTTGAAGATGATGAAATGTAAACTATGAACATGTCCCAGATTCAACCCTCTTTGCTTCTTTAACATGCAAGGGGGGCGTTTGAGTTTAAGTTTGCATTAAGAAGGCCACTTGTGTTTCAGTCTGGAGTGAAGCAATTGTAAGATAGTGATAATTGACGTCATAATCATTGCCTTGATAGCATTGATGTGCTCTCTGTCTGTTACTTATTTCAAGTTTTGGATCAGAAAATCTTGAGAGATTCAGGAACAGATGATGGATTACTGAATTTTTTTTTATTATAAGGCACGTCATTTATCTCAGTAAAAACCTCTCTGCACAGTCTTTGAGTACTGGGTTGCATCTCATAGCCAAGTATCTTTGCGCAACTATATATAATTAAGCCAAATTTCCCCCACAATTTACCTGGTTTTAAGTTAAAAAAAAAAAACATAAGTTAAGACAAGACATGTTGGCCATTGACTTTCTTAACTTGGTGGTTCTGAAAAGGCAATTCTCCTCGACAGCTAAAAATATTGATTATTTAGTTGATCAAGACTGTTCAGAAAAAGGCTACCTTTGTAAATGAAAAGCTCATCTAGTGAATACCACAATCTTGTCTCAAGAGGGTCAAATAGTTTACAATACACTAAACATCGCATTAGTTCTTTAAGAAAATTATTATAGTTATCATAATTTCATTATTCATGAAAATTTCTCTTTATCATATAATTCAGTGTCATTTTGGTTTTATCTTTTAAATTCAAACTTTTAAATGGAAAAGTGAGTGTGCAATGTATAATAGGTAATTTACATGTAAAGATACCAACACTGGTAAATAGAACAAAAATATACTAAAACATCCTGTGTATTTGGTTCAAGCACTAACCCTGGACAATCTTTTAATGTCAATATTCCTAAGTTATTCTCCATACTCCTCTCAATACACATTTTTGTTGTTGACAAGGAGAATTTGAAAATAGTGTAATTGTTGCAGGAAGAGTAAAGTATAGTATATACTGAAACAAATATTCACCTCAGTGTTGGTGGTTTGCAGTGGATATTTACTTTGTCACTTTATTCCTCTGAAAATATCCACCACAAGTGACCTCCACTTTGGTGAGTAGTCGTTAAATACAACAGAATATTACTGTAAATATCAGTTATAATTTTTAGAGCTTTAGGGCTTTTAGCCTTTATCAAGGACATAACAGGTTTTAGGATAGTGTTTGATTCAGCATTAACTGGTAAAACTGAAACAACATCAATATTTTGAACGTTTTCAACCAAAGAAGTGCACACTGTCTACTGTATTTATTACAGCTATGCAACAGTTTAAATAAATCACGATTACAGTTTGGCTTTCAGCGACTTTTTGAGAGTAATAAATCTTCCTTGTAGATACCCTTGGTGGATTGATAGACCACGGTAGGCTTATTTATAGATTGTGTTTACAACAACTACAATGAAGCATGTGTGCAAAAGTTAACTTTTGGTTGAAACACTTTCCTCAGCTTGCGATTTTGAAGTAGCCCTGCAGCTGGTAGAGGAAGCTAAGCTTTGAATCTTAGTTTCGTCCAATATTGGCAAGATGTAAAGTCAATTATTTTGTTTTAAAACATAACAAAATATTTATATTAACATTCTACCCCAAATTTATCAAAGTTTCTCGTTATCACGCCTAATTGCAAATGTATCGAACCCATGGCAATCGTTCTCAATTTATATCGGTCTCCACCAGTGTAGATAACATCTGAAGTCTTTAACTGTGGTGCACCACCGACAAAAAAGCTACGAAGCTGTTCTGACTTGCTCGAACTGAGAGGTCGCCATGTCACGCAATCAACGTTGTGAGTTCCAGGTGATGTTGGCACATGGCAGTAACCATAACCATAAATCTCGTTTCGTCCATTAGAGTCTTGGTGCCAAACTTGGAAATGAAACTTTGGCCATCCTTTCAGTCCTTTGGTCGCAAAATGCAAGTCTATGGGATGGCACCATCGCGCACAATCCTCGTTCTGGGGGTTGTCCACTTGCGTTTGGCCCTCTTTTTGTCCAGCTAAAAGTTTCCACAAACCGTCAACATGGACAGACCATTTGCAGTATAAATTATGTGAGGGGAACCCGCTTGCACCGATGATTTCACCTATAACATGTACTTCCGCCATTGCCGTTTACTCAGCAAAACATTTAGCAACGGAAAAATGACGGAAAATCTAAACATGGCGGGCTCTATACTACGCATGCTTAAATTGCGCCCGCAATACGTCAGCACAAAAGATGGCGGCAAAAGTTTAAATTTTTCCCTCGGAGATGTTAGTTCATGTGAATCCTGCTTGTGTAAAGGCAATTTTGACGAGCTAAACCTTCTTTTGCTGTGTTTCTTGAGAAAAAAAATTTAAGGCATCCAACGAGCATATAAAGCCCAAAAAGAGGTAGCCCCATGGGTGACAAAGAGAAGAGAGTTGGAAAGATCGATAGGAGACCGATGTGCAGATACGGAACAGATTGTTACCGTAAAAATCCGGTTCATTTTAAGGAATATAGACACCCAGGTAAGTTTACGTAAATTGATGTCTAAGCTACTGGGAAGTTAATAACTAACGCAAACATTCAACTCCTCAGGATTTGGGCAATCCATAAAATCGATATTCCACTTAGTTTTAATTAATAACTTAGTAAAATCGTTTCAGTCGATACTGATAATCGAAAAATCGATAATTAAGTTATCGGTAAACGCTAAATATAAATCCTTAAGTGCATGATGAGTGATAAATATTTATTGATTTTTCGATTATCAGTATCGACCGAAGCGATTTTACCTAGTTTATTGATTACAGATTTTCACCTTGGTTCTCCATCTGGAAAAACGAATTTAGCAAATGTAAGACTTAAAAGCAGGGAATATATATAACGGCGTAATATGTGACTAACACAGTCTAAATACTGTAAGATTTTACGCCATTATCTCAGTCGGTAGATTAATTATAATAAATTAATATATAATTAAATTATATTACTGGCGTAAAATTTACATTATATATATCACTGACTGGAAGAAAAGCAAATAGTTAGTACAACAAACTTTCTATGGCCAATTTTCTTGTATAACTCTTTGTTGACTGCCTATTTATGGAGAAGTCAAGAGAACTCCAAACCTGAAATAATTCCAAAATGTTGATCATGCTCTGACCAGTGTAGATGAAGCTGCATTAAGCTGCAAGATAAAGATTCAAGCTGACCAGACAACAAAATCACCAAAAACCAAATTACACTGCCTTCAGTTATATATCTCACATCCAACTGCTCTACCTTAAACTTTTTGATGGCAACAACATTTTAGAGATATTTTTTTTTGTGTGTACACTGGTATGTTAGTTTCACAACAAATTTTATAAATGCTAATAAATAGATAATAATTATTTTTCTAATGGACCCCTCATAGGTTATGACTCTGACACTGATGATGATGATGATGACAAGTTGGAGAAGTCTCCACCAGCTAAAAGACAGAAGTTAACTAGTAGTTTGACAACCAGTGAGCCGTCATTTTCATCGTCTTCATCATCATTACCAAAAGACACTGAGAATGACATGAAGTGTTTGCCATTTTTACTGACCACTGTTCGAGGGATTCCTTCTGAATTTAATAACAAAAATATGGCAGTTAGCATTAAAGGTACCCTTTTCTTTTAAAAGTTAGATTAGCCTGGCAGAATTAGAATGTTTTAATTCTAAATTATGCTACAGGAGTTTTTTACTATATATAGATAAAGCTATCAAGCAATCAGTCAATCAGTTAGTCTTTGTCTTTTGAATTGTCATCTTGAGGTGGTTTTAGGGGGGATGTAAAAATGTTCTTTAACTCTTTAACTCCCATGAGTGACCAAGACATAATTTCTCCTCACAATATCAATACAATATCAAGCAGACAAGTGATGAGAATAAACAATATCAATTAGGGGATTAATAGTTGATCCAGTATCAAATTCTCTGAACTAACATCACAAGAATTATGTGGCAGATAGTAAAGAGAGTTAAAAATAAATGAGATCTTGGGAGTTAAAGGGTTAAAATGAGCTATTATCAAGTAAATTCTCTGAGTTTAATTATAATGTGAAATTAAGAACATGTCTTGTTTGTTTGTTTGTTTGTTGCTCATCTTGTAGGTCATGTAAGAGTTGTGCTTTGATTTACTGATATTTTATTTGTACTTACCACATTTTATTGCTCTACAATATATCTTATACAACTAGATATCCTTTCAAATACAATGGGGAACTTGGAGGCATCAGCACAGGTACATGAGTGAAAAAATGAGTGCTTGATATTAATTAATAATAAGTAGTATTCTTTTTTAATAATATTAGATTGTAATTATCAGATGAGATTCAACAATAATTATTGTTATGCACATTGATTTTTTCAGTTCAACTACATGTTTGATATTCCATGGTTGATGGAGCAGTACCCTGCAGATAAAAGGTCAAGATCAATTGAAGAAGCATTGATACAGAACTGTTATCTAAAGCTTTTTGGCTGGTTCATTTAGAATTAAAATTTATCTACCAACTAAAACTCTTCTTGGTCATGAAAGTTCATTTGGGAATACTGTTGAGGTCTACTGAGGTAATTTTTTAGGGGGTAGGGCTGAGGTGTGTTGATGCATGTGAACATCTGCATGAATATTAATGTTTCTTTTCAAGCTAGAATTGAAAACTTGATTCCCAAGTTGATACATGTGTGTGCGATAAACACCAAACCAATATAGGATCCTTTATTTCTTTATTCCTTGGGGAATTCTTATATCAAAGTGGTCAACTGAAATCATTACATGAAGAAATTACCTATTAAGTATTGTGTGATCATAGCTTAAGAATAATTTAAATTTTGGAAACGAGCATGTGGCAATTAAAAGAACCAAAAGAAAGGTAAAAACGAAGCACTAAGTTTCACTTTGAATAACAAACAAGTTATTGTTTACCAACATTTGTGGGTCTCAATTACTTTATTGAGGATTATGGTCTAACTTGTCTTATATTCAAAGAACAATCTTGATTACATGGCGTCTTATCCTGAACTGAAATGCTAACTATAATTTCAGTCTAAAAGGAACTAATCACGGAGGCATCCATCTAACCAAAAAATTTTTCACAGCTTCTCTCAGAAGCGGTAACATTTAGCTCTAATGGAAGAGGTTACAATGAACACTGTAGTTGAAAGGATTATTACCAGCTTAGTATGCTCAAGTATTTAAAAACAATGGTCATTCCTTATTGGTAGTTGATGACTTAGTATGGAATGTTTTTGGGTTTTATGTGTATTTTGGGGTTGCAAAAAATTCATAAAAGAGATTTTTAACAATTCAAATATGTTTTCAGGTCTAAACCTTTATTAATCGTTCATGGAAATCAGAGAGAGGCAAAGGCTCAACTTCATCAAGAAACAGAACCATATCCAAATATTAAACTGTTTGCTGTAAGTTTGATGTTTGTGCAGTCACTGGCATGGAGATATTTCCAGAAGTGCATACAGTAACCAGAATGGGGAAAATTTCTCAAAATCATCAAATCTGTTAAGCTAGTTTACTTGGTTGATGAATTTGACAAATATTTGCCAAAATCGTCAAATCCATGAACATTCACTCAGTTTGACGAAATTTCATCAAATCTGCCATTTTTGTTACTGCATGCATTTCTGGAAATAAGTGAAATTAGGGTTCCCATACAACACAAATCATCCAAAGGATAACACCAAGGCATTTAGATTCAGACAATTTCTTAACTGGCTGATAAATCTGCAGATAAATCCTCTATCTAATCAAATCAGTGATTATCAATATTAAATTGTTATCATTTTTATATTTAGTAGTCAGTCATTAAACTTAATTTAATTTTAAAAAATCAGTCAAATAAATCACTAGTGAAGTATAATTATAATGATAAAATAATAATGGTTTGTCTTTTTAACAGGCCAGACTAGAAGCATTTGGAACACATCATAGGTTGGTCTTGTGATGGTACATCCAAGAATGAAGATGTTGTCATTACTGCGCACAAACAGAATTGCAAATTATAAGAAACCAATTCAGCTTCAAAACTTGAGTATTTACAATACCTCTGAGATACAACAAAAAGATGATAACATGCTACACTTTCATGATAAAACTGAAGGAAATCTGTGTTAAAATAACAGTGACTGTTGGTAGTGAATGATCTTTATTTTCTATTCATTAAGTTACAAGCTTTTCACTTTTTCTGGCAAGCCCCTAAAGTACCTTGATCAAAGGGGAAAACTGAAAGAGCAATAAAACTCAAGTCACATGATAATGCTGGCATGAATAAATATTTTATATACTAGACTAGATGCGTCACTTTCCATGTAATCCACTGTATGAAGTTTTATGCAGCCAGCCAAGCTAAAGGAAAACGGCAAATGTTCACCCATTCCTCAACACTGCAGTAGAAATTAAAAAATTAATGGTCAATCGAGAGCTTCTCTCCTAATGATCACAATGGATTTATTTTCTCAGGTTTTTGAGAAGTTTAGTTCTCATAATTTTTTTTTTCAGCAAAATGATGCTACTGTTGTACAAAGAGGGCTTAAAAGTTGTGATCACCACAGCAAATCTCATTGCCATGGACTGGGACCAGAAAACACAAGGGTACATCAAAATTATTTGTTCTGAATTTTTTTTAATAAAAAAGGTGCATTCCCCTTGAATATGTCATCAAATGAAGAGGAAGCACACTGTAAGTGAAGAGCAGACTTGTTAAACATTTCCTTCTGTAATTCTCCCTTTTGGCCTTTTTTTGAGAACCATACCATACAATGGAAACAGGATTAATAACTTGAAAATGTAAGCGGAACTGACTGCATTAATTTATAATCATGCTTAGTTTAGGTAAAATCCTAGTTTAAAGGATATACTCTCATGCAGAAGATTCATGAGTGTAATGGTTGGTGCAATAACTGCATTCATTTGATTCTTGAGGAAATTTTCCCCTTACAAGCCAATTTCCCTTCTTCCTGCACAACATGGCTTGTCATATTCATTTGTTTCTTTTTCAGGGTTTGGATGAGTCCAGTGTTTCCTAAACTTTCCAAGTTATCTGGTGAAGAATATGCAAACTATTCACGGACTAATTTTAAAGAGGATTTATTGGTAAGGAAATTGCCAAACTAACTAATAATAGTTTGGCATGTGGATTTTATTTTTGATCATGGAGTATTTGAATGTCCGATCAGGTCATGTGTGTATTTTTTCTTTGTACAGAGACTGCAACTTATGGTAGTTTTTGTACTCTGTTGTGGTATGTGTGACAGGACACTTTTTTGTTTTAGCTCAGATCAGAAAAGGCCAATGGGAGAAAAACTCTTACAGGTCAAGGGAGGGTCAAAAAAAGTTTTGGTCAGAGGGAAAGTGAAATTTTTTGGACAATTACAGGGATGGTTAAAATTTATTTAGCTGGTCAATTTCATACCGCTTTGTATTTATTGGTTAGTTAGGGTTTTAGATATATCATTTAACAGGGAAAAGGAAGTGATAAATGAGGGGTTTTTGCCTAAAGAAATCAAATTTCTTCTGAAAACTAAGCCAGATAGCTTTCCAAATTTTAAACACCCAGTAACTGAAGAAGGAAGGCCAGTGGGGGGTGGGAGGGGGGGGAGGTCCTGATCCTGTTTCACATTTACTCTAAACAAATTTGAAAGGAATAACATCAAGTCTTCCCTTACCTTGCCTTCAGTAAAATTCATGTGTACAGTCACATATTAATTTTGAGCTTGATCTCTTTGCAACCCTCTACTAAAGAGATGCACTGTACAAGGAAAGTACCTTGAGGTTCTTTAAATTCATTGCATCCCCAATGATGTGATGTCCTTCAGCAAAGCTTCATCTTAATTAGTCTAAAAAAACCATTACAGGAATATTTGGCAGCATATGGGGGTAGTGCACTAGATGAATGGAAGAAACATATTCAGGAACATGATATGTCATCTGCAAGGTATATTGTTCATTAAATATTTTTTTCTTATTTGATCATTTGTTTTTCAGGAAGTTATTGAGTTGTCATTGCCTCCTTATGATATTTTCTTCCGTCGATCCTAATTTGTTGTTTTGATTTCTTTAGTTGTGGTTGAGACATTCAATTGAAATGCACTCTGTTGGTATTAATATAGGAGAGACTTTTGATTAATTTTAGGGTTCGCCTAATAGCCTCTGTTCCTGGGAGACACACTGGAGTCAATAAAACCAAATGGGGCCATCTTAAACTTCGTAAGGTGATCATGAATTATTGGTATAAATTAAGAAGTCTAAAATTTGGAATTTGTTTGAGTTGTTAGCAAATATCACCCTTTAGCAAAGTTAGGTGCCTGTCTAAAAGAGCATTAAAGTTTCACTCAATGGAATTGAACAAATTTGTAATTCATCTAGCAACACCTTGAAAATAAGATAATTGTCTTCTTTGAAACTTAGGTTCTTCACCAGCATGGACCTAGCTCTGATGACATCAGCTCCAAGTGGCCTGTGATTGGTCAGTTTTCCAGCATAGGTTCTCTTGGGAATGACAAGGACCGTTGGCTGTGTTCTGAATGGTTACAAAGCTTGTCCACATGTTCTGGTAACATGATGTCCAGTCCCCCTCTGCATCTGGTTAGTATGTTTCTCAATCTCCATTATGGTTGGAAACTGAACACTGATTTAATTTGCAAGTTTGCAAGTTTTTTGTTCTGGATCAGAATATTGTGGAAATTTTTTTCTTCTTGATTCATCATGTTTTATTGGCAGGTTTTTCCAACAGTGGACAATGTGCGGTGCAGTTTGGAAGGTTACCCAGGTATATAATATAACTTAAATTATATGCATCTGTTGAGGCAGATATCAAGTGGCTAAGTGGTTAGAGTGCTGGACTTGTAAACTGATGGCCTGGGTTCAATTCCTTCAACTTCAATTGGAACACACTGGATTTATTATTATCATTATTATTATTTTTAGTTCAATTATTATTTTTTTTTATTTCAATTATTATTATTTTTTTATTATCATTATTATCTTAATCACCAAAAATCTAGGGATGCACATGTGAGTAAATTTAAAGTAATTACTGCAGTTTGTAGAAGCACATAAAGTGTCCACAGTGTTTGAGTTATGTATTTCTTTCTATATATATTTTCTTCTTCTAAACACTTCACAGCATACTCTTAGTGGTTCAAGTTTCATTTCTAAGTATAAATGTGTGATCTCTGATAGTTTATTTCTCTGTAGCTGGTGGCTCAATACCATACAGTTCCAAGACAGCTTTGAAACAGCCTTATCTTCCAAGTTTCTTTTGGTAAGTCACCCTTAGTTTGTTTTCAGATTAGATGGGTTTTCATCAACCTTAGCTTTGTCCCAGTTCACATGGCATGAAATCCACTGGTGTGGCATTGCAATTTTACTCTTCACCACCCGTACCCGCCCTGAATTTGAGGAAAATCTTCAAAACGTTAATTATGGAGTCTTTCATCTAGCAGGTGGCTTTTTATCAGTATCCACCACTGTGTGGGGGGATTAATTAATAAGGGGAAACCCAGGCAGGGAATGTTTCTAGTCCTTTCAATTTGGAGTAGAGCACATCAGTCACTCCCCTCAATCTGCTAGACAAAATGGCTATTTTTCTCTGTTTCTTTTTTCAATTGGACCATACTGGGATGTAGGCAAATAATCAAAAGCCTTAGATCTATTAAAATGTTACATCCAGGAAATCTCTGCTTTACCCAAGTAGCTAACTCTGTTGTGTTAGCATAGCTCTTCTTACATTCTTGACAGATCTGATGGATTTTTGCTTTTCTTGCTTTTGGTTTTTTCAGCTCTTGGAAGTCTCATTCCTGTGGTAGAAGTCGCGCCTCTCCTCACATTAAAACATACACCAGGGTATCCCCAGATTGGAGCCGAATGAGCTGGTTTCTTGTGACAAGGTGTTAAAAACTGAGTCCTCTCTGCAATTTATCTTTATTTAGTTATGCTGCTCTAGAAATTTTAGAAGGTGGAACTTCTACACTTCTTTATCTTTGGGGCTGTTTAAAGTTTGTTCAAAGATTATTTCAGTATAACAGCAGAATCTTTTCAGGTTTGCCTTCGCTGTCGTCTAAGGGCATTACTGATATGATTAAAAGAATCCAAAAATTGTCTGTTCTCCTTTCAAAACCCCTTGGGTTTACCCTCATGGTGTTTATAGTCTATCTAATTTGGCTAGAACAAGAGAAAACTTTGGATTTCCCCTGTTTATCTGTGGGCTATTTCTGATTGGCCAAAACAGAATGTCAAGCCAGTTATTTTGAAAAGGCAATGTTTTGAAAATGAAAGATGGTTGGAGTCTTAAAAAGGATAGATATTGTCTTGAAATTTATGCAAAGTTTTTGCATTTTTTCTCTTCCTCATTTACATTTAATTATTTTCAGTGCAAATTTGTCTAAAGCAGCCTGGGGAACTTTGGAAAAAAATGGTCAACAACTTATGATTCGCTCGTATGAGATTGGAGTTTTGTTTCTACCCAAAGACCAGGTATTTTGTTTAGTTATATCTCCAGCGTTTCAGTTGGACAAATGAAAGAAAATTCTTTCCTGTGACTGTACCCTTTTTGATCCAGATTCCATCTATGACTCAATAGTGAACTGTCATTTTATCAACAGGATCCTGAAAGCAAATACTTTCATGTGAAAGGAAAACAGGAAAGTAATGAAAAATGGTCAAGTTATAGTGTACAGCTTCCATTTGATGTCCCACCTTTGCCATACACCAAAGATGGTAAGATTCCTTGCTTGTGTTCAGGCAATTTAGCATAAAGGTCTCCTCTTTTCAGTTCACATCATGAATTTACAAATTTTTTTTTTTTTTGAGTGTGAATAATTCATAGCAACTTTCTCATTGTGAATTATGGTTGTGGGACTGGTCATTATTTATCCTTGGCAGACTTAGGGGGGCAGGGGGGGTCAGGGGAGCAGGGGGGTCAGGGGGGCAGGGGGGTTCGAGGATTTTTCTTGTGTCACAATAAAATTTACCTGATCCCCAACAAGGCTCTGTAATATTCTTATGATCCCCCTCCACCCTTTAACTCCCATGAGTGACCAAAACAGAATTTCTCCTTACAGTATCAATACAATATCAAGCAGACAAGTGGTGAGAATAAAGAAATATATCAATTTGGGGATAATTAGTTGATTCAATACTAAATTCTCTGAACTAACATGATAAGAACTGTATGGTTGACAGTAAGGAGAATTACAAATTTGATCTGGGTGTTAAAGGGTTAATTGGCAGTCAGTTTTTTTATGGTCAAGCCTTTATACTCTGTTGGTGACGGCAGATCTCCTCTCCTTTCCCCCTGAAAACCAGGAGATCCCTGGGCACATGCAGAGAGTCAGGTACTTAAAATCAGTGGTTCATCTATGAAAGTCTGGTATTTCATGTCATGTTTGTGTTTTGTCAAAACAGAATCTCCTTGGATGTGGGATGTCAAATACAACACACCTGATGGTCATGGTAGAATATGGTCACCATCATAATCACTGCAGTCAGGGAATCACTGGGTTAAAATGGACACAGAGGATGTCAGGGGGAGGGAAAAGGCAAAGGCAAAGGCAAAGGTCATATATACCTCTGAAATGAAACTCAGATTTTGTTGACACTCACTTTAAAGAAAATGTTAATTTTTGAAATACTCATGTCTTAAAAATCATGTTTTGATCAGAATTTCAGGCTTGAGTCATGCAAACCAAAATAAAAATAATCCTCACAGAGCCTGTTTCAGGTGTTCAGTTAACATCTTTGACTCCTAAGAGTGACCAGCATCCAGTTTCTCCTCACAATACCACCCCTGAATCAAAAAGTTAGGTCACTAGAATAAAAGGAAATGATCACCAAGTTAAGAAGCTCACTTGATTCTTAGATAAATTCTCCTTGTTGCTGCCTGAGGAAATGTATGGAGATCAGTATGGAGAATATACATACTGATGTTAGGGTGGAAAGGGTTAAATATCAAAGACAAAGAGTAATTATACTACAACAGTGACAGCCTCCTGCTCAGCAAGTCTCTGAAAGATAAATTATTGCAGACAAATTTATCATGTGATTGTTATTATCATCTATTTATTAATATATAATGCTTTTAAATATAAGTGATAACAAAAAAGTACTTCATCTCAATCTGCCAGGCTTAAGATATGAATATAAAACAAATAAGTTTTACCACACTAGTTTTTCTTTTTGACTCGGACTGTTTCCTTTTGACAAAAACTTTGTTTGGCTTTTTTACGGCAGTCACTTGAAACTACACATGTCCTTGCTTAGATAACCTAAATCTTTTTAAAGAGGAAACTGACAACTGTAAAATATGTGTATTTGCAAAACTTTGTTGTGAAAAATTTTGCTATGCAACCAATCATACCTTTCCCACGAGGGAAAGAATCAAAAGAAAAAGGTTAAAAAATTTAAAAGAAGTCTGCAAATTTTCGGAAACTCTTGCTTTCATTTCAGCTTATTATCGATGATACCTAGTTTTGTTTTGCCTTACTCAGTAATTTTCTTAGATTGAAACTTTTAAATATGTACATGTGTTTAAGACCTGAGGTTAAAGTAGAGACATACTTAGGAAACTCGCCAAGAAGTAAACCATAATCTTCGCAGGCCACAGGTATCTTGTTCGGGCCGAGGTAATTAACAATTGGCGCAGATCGCGAGTTTGTAACATAGGTTGATTTCCATAGGAAAAATAAAAAAGTATCATAAATTAAATTGATTAAAACTCGGAAATTTTCTTATTGATAATATGCCTTATTCTCAGCTTAGACAAAAGCGAAGCACCACAATTAAATCAGGCTTGGTTTCAATTCATTAAGACATCCTATGTTCACGTCATTTAGACCTTACGGAATTGACCCAGTTAAGTTACCCACGAGTAAGGTTCACAGATTATTAAGCATTTTCTCAATGTCCTCGTTGCGTGAAGTTACTCTACCGGTCTCGAGGGCTTGGAAGTTAGAGTGTTCATTTTATGGCGCCTGTTCCAGTTCTTCTTGATCCTTTACTTCCGCTGGTGATACTTGTTCTTCTTGCGATCTGAAATTAAAGGAAATTACTGTCATTAAGCTAAACCAAATCACTTGGAACCACGTATGAAGTAAATGCTTGCTCTCTTGTCTTGAAAGCCAATAAAACACCGCCTCATAAACCTATTTTTTTCATTGCCTCTTTTTTTCGTTCTTTTGTGTGCGTACTCTAATGTTTTACGTCAACTCTGTTAGACACCAACTTTGAAGAGCCAAAATGTCTCGTGACCATCATTGTTTAGAAAGGGTTTTAATCGACCTTCTTGCACAGTGTAGTAAAAGTATTTCACATGAAGGTGGAATTATTGAAGTCCTATTTATAAATTTCTACTCACGATTCATTGTTGATTTCTTTAAAATCGATTGTGACGTCATCACCAATGAGTACAAACGGAGCCCAGAACCGCGGGGCATTAAAGTCTTCTGATTCTCGCAGACATTTCATCGCCCGGTTGAGTGACACGCTGGCGCTGTTTCCATCCTTCAGATGTTGGTAAAAGCTTCTCATAAACTCCATGGTGGCCTCGTCATCAATTGACCAGAGTGCGACCAGAACAGAACGAGCACCGGCACCGAGGAAAGCCCGTGCAATGCCGACCACACCCTCACTAGACACCTTGCCTTGAGCACTGTGACAACAACTTAACACAACAAGCTTTGCACGCAACTTTGCTGCTTGTACATCGGAAATTGTTAGCCTGAAATCTTGTTCTTCTGGTCTTCTGTATTCTCGTTGTGGATTTGGAGCCAAAGCAATTTCCCCAGTTTCGATTTTTCCGTGCGCAGCAATGTGCACCAAAGCAACCGAACCGATTCTCCTTAGCACCTCAGCCTTGGTTGCCTCTTTTCCTGTGAGTGGGTGGATACCAAGCATCGCTCCGATCATCTCCACTTCCTTTTTGGCGAAAGGCAAGGGGGAAAATCTATTCTCTCCGAGCAAGGTGGTAAAGTCCTCTAGACATGGATCTCCTACGAGCAACGCCCCACTCTTGTTGTGATATTCTTTGGGAGAAGCGTTGATCAGTTTCATACACATCAATGACGGAAGAATGCGTATCCTCATGGACTCACTGAGGTACTTTGATTCGGAATCCAAAAATGCAGCAAAAGGGGCGAGGCACAGTGGACCATCAGGAACGACAACCAACTCGCCATCTTCGATCAAATCTGAAATAGGACTTATGATGCACTCATGAAAGAGACGCAGAGGATTCTCGTCAGACTGTAATGGGTTTCCTGTTTCCTCACCTCTTTCCTCGGCGGGTGGCAATTCTTGTTCGGTACTTGACCCGTCTAATGTGCGGTTTTCGCAGATTACCCTGAATCTTCCTCGAATTTCCTCGTAAGCCTTCTTCCTTAAGCAATTCAAATAGTCGGTCGCATCTCCAAGGAGATATTTCACTTCTTTCTTTGTAAACTGTACATTCCTGTCTTTCCCGATTACCCACAGGTTAACTGCGTTTCCTTGTAGTGCAACAAAAAGCGTCGGACCAGAGATATTAGTGACCATTTCGGAGATCCCTGGTTTAGCCTGAACTGATCCAGAAACTGCCAGTTGGGATCCATATCGTAGTTTGATGAGATCCAACAAGGCCTCGGCTCGTCCTTGGTCCGCAGCACACAATGCCTCGTTGAATTTTGACAGCTTAAGCAAGGTTCTGCAGAGTGACTGGTAAATGTCTTGACGTGCATTGCGGAAGATTACTTTTAACGCATCGTCAACTTGCAGAACTCTCAATTCATTGAAAAGTTTAGTACTGCGTTGATAATAATCAACCGCTTGATGCAAGTCTCCAGAGCTTTCATAAGTACGACCTAAATTGGCTAAATAATTTCCCACGATTATTCTCTGCCCCGATTTCTGAACCATATTAAGACATTTCTTGTTGTACTCGATGGCTCGTTCAAAGTCACCCTGTTTACGAAGAATTTCCACAAAACTGGCGTAGACCATTGCCTCGATTTCCTGGTCTCTCAGTTCTTTGGCCATGGTAAGCGCTTTCTCAAGATACTCTGTTGCCTGGTTAAAATCATCCCGTCGAGCATTAACAGTTCCAATAAGGACATAGGCTTCAGCCTCGCCTTCCCTGTCTCCTATGCGTTTAGCGATATCAAGGTAATCCTGGAAAAACTGCATGGCTCGATACAATTTGCCCATTGACATATAACTTTTACCAGCAACTCTAAGGGCTTTCGACCTTACTATCGGTTTTCTAGCAATACTTAGACATTTGTTGGCGTTCTCTATGGCATGATTAAAATCACCCAAGTCGTGATAAGCTTCACCAAGCAGATGAAAGGCACATTCCTCGTCTGACCTGTCTTCTAGTTCTTTAACAATACTAAGATGTTGCCTGAGGCACTCTATGGCTCGATTGAAATCATCCATCTTCTGATAAACCATGCTAAGATTGTTATAGACCCTTCCCTCGTGTGCCTTATCTCCCAGTTCTCTAGTAATATTAAGATGTTGTTTGTGGTACTCTATGGCTTGATTGAAATCGCCCAGCTCCTCATAAACCGAGCCAAGATTGTGGTAGGCACGGTACTCATGTACCTTGTCTTTCAGTTCTTTAGCAATACTGAGATATTGTTTGTGGCACTTTATGGCTTGACTGAAATCACCAATCTTGTGATAAGCGCCGCTAAGATTGTGGTAGATACATTGCTCGCCTGCCCTGTCTCCCAGTTCTCTAGCAATACTAAGATGTTGTTTGTAGTACTCTATGGCTTGATTGAAATCGCTCAGCTCCTCATAAGCCGAGGCAAGATGGTCGTAGGCACATCTCTCGCCTGCTTTGTCTCCCAGTTCTCTAGAAATACTAAGACGTTGTTTGTGGTACTCTATGGCTTGATTGAAATCGCCCAGCTCCTCATAAGCCGAGCCAAGATTGTGGTAGGCACGGTACTCGTTTGCTTTGTCTTTCAGTTCTTTAGCAATACTGAGATGTTGTTTGTGGTACTTTATGGCTTGACTGAAATCACCAATCTTGTGATAAGCGCCGCTAAGATTGTGGTAGATACATTGCTCGCCTGCCCTGTCTCCCAGTTCTCTAGCAATACTAAGATGTTGTTTGTAGTACTCTATGGCTCGATTAAAATCGCCCAGCTCGTCATAAGCCGAGCCAAGATCGTGGTAGGCACGGTACTCGTCTGCCTTGTCTTTCAGTTCTTTAGCAATACGGAGATGTTCTTCGTGGTACTTTATGGCTTGACTGAAATCACCCATCATGTGATAAGTGGAGCCAAGATTGTAGTAGGCACGTCCCTCGTCTGCGCTGTCTCCTAGTTCTTTTGCATTGTGGAGGTCTTGCTTTATGATCCCGATTGCTTTCTTCATCTTTTCAAAAGTGTAAAGACAAAAGCGAAGAAATTGCGTAATTGTTTCGGCTGTAATGTTTATTTGTCTCGAAATGTGGTAATAAATAAAAAGTCTCGTTGTAAAGGTTTAAGTCGACAAACAGAACTCTTGATCACCCCCTATTCTTTGGAACCTGTATTAAGGGATAACCATTCCCCGTGGGTGATCGCTTAATACAGGTTTGAATGTAGTATTATTAATCATCAGCAATGCCCGACTGACTTTTTTCTCCTTGATATTTCTTCTCTGTGACATTGTCCTCAATGTCATCACCACTAACACCCTAACATCTAGTGCACTGATATTACATTTAACATGATGCTAAGAAGGAGAATGCGAAAAAATTTACTAGACCATAGACTTACATTGCCGGACTTTAAACATTCGTGGAAAGACCTGTCTCTCAGTCGCCGCAGGGTATCGTTCCTTTCAATCTTCACACATCCGCAGTTAAAGATGCAAATCTAATGCCAAAAATAACTGTAATGCTATAGGACTGTATTGAGAATCCGCAAATTCTTAATAACAGTCTTTTTAAACAGCCTGTGAAGGCTCTCAGATTTATTGTTTCTATGTAATCGGTAAAAAAGAAAAACAAAACAAAAATTAAAATTCATTCCGTAAACTTGGAAAGCCTTTTTCATTTGAACACTTGTTGAAGAAGCAAGATGCTTTCAATATTCCGATAGGCTTCCATATGGTGTGTATGTGCCATAATTCTGAACACTGGCTATTTTAACTCAGATACTTGGCATACTAAGAGAGATCAAGTTCTTTGTATTTTAGATTTGTCAAAAGGATACTGCTAATCCTTGAACACTCCATCTGAGTGCTTCTTCAGGCTTATTCAGCTCAAGACAGGCGCTTGCTCCTATTCAAAATAACACAGTTAACATTATGAGATCGTATGTATGCGGAAGAGGTTTTTCTAAAACAGTTTTCCTTTGCTAAGGTCAAAAATTAATTGTTGTAATTTTTTCTTTGTTGGTTTTTGGAAACTTATCAAAATTGTGGAAAGAGTTGTACGACGTTTGCAAAAATTTAAGTAAACGTTACGATGATTCCCTTAATTGTTTGTAAAAGACAAAAATTTGTCTTATGCACTTCGCTTCGAAAGATGAGTATCAGCGAGCTGTCAATCATGCCACAAGAGTGCCTATGGGCGTGGAACTCTCGACTTTAGGGAGGGGACTGGTAACGAGATCTCAGCAGTCCTAGTTTTAAAATCTTTTTATTTCAATTTCTTACGCTGAAATCAAAATTGCGCGGTACAGAGGAAAAGTATCTACAAAAAAACAGCGCCTTATGCCATTTTCACCAGTCATGTGAGACCCCACTCAATAAAGCACAGTCCAATCCGTGGGGTGTGGGGTAGTTTTCGGCTTAAAAGATAGGAGAAAAAAATACCTCTTATAATTGCCTTCAGGTATGTTGGTTGCAATCGATAGGCAGCTGTTGCATCTCTCAGTGACTCCTGATAGTTGCCTATAAAAGAAGTGTAATCTGATAGCAGAACGTCCAGTCGAACCTGTATTGAGCGGCACCGTAAGCGGTCACCCTGTGTTAGCGGTCAGTTGTCAAAGTCCTGAATTTTTTGCTCTTAATCACTGTAATTTTCACCTCTATTAAGCAGTCACGGTCACTTTTGAGTTAGTCCTAACGGCCTGTTTCTATTGTCTTCCACCTGCATTGATCGGTCATTTAAAGCGGAACTACTCAAATAAAACTAAGAATAATCTTTCAATGTTGGTAGTATTTTTGAGCAAGTTTTTGTACATTAAATGATAACTTGTGGCATAAAATGGTAGTTTAATCGTTTTTCATATTACTCCCCATTCTTTGGAGGCTGCTGTATGAAGTGGTCACCCGCCATTCCCCGCGGGTGACCGCTTATTACAGGTTTGACTGTAGTTATAAAAAACTGAACATACAGAAGAAAAAAGGGCGTAGGTCGGTAATCGTGTTAAATGGCTGACTCTCCGAGCGACAGAATATGTCACACACAGGAGGAATTATATTTGGGCGAGAGAATATAAACTATTCTCTTGTTTTAATTTTGGCTAATAAGTGCTACTATATCAAATAACAAATACAGCGTAAAGTAGTATTTTGGAACACGGGTCGCACACTTTCCTTTCAGGTCCACACACAAAGATATGCTATACTCTTCCAAAAATTATTTTCCAAAACTCAAATGATCAGTTTATTTGAGTGGAAATTATGTTGCTTTGAGTATTATGAAGTCGATTTGGGTATCTGAGTCAGCAAGAAAAAGCGAAAAAACAATAGAAATTTTAAGCAGAGAAAAGATTATAAATATCAGCGGTAGTGAGGACAACGAAATCTGACTCAAGTTCCATGGGAATATTACAAAATAAAGATGCCGTGAACAGATTCTAAACACAGACATGCATCTGCGAACATGAACTTCCTCACGAACTCAGTGAGGCCAACAGCCAAGTGGAGAAACGAAGTACGCTAAAAAGATTAAAGCCTTCATAATTCTCACCTAATTTGAAATGTACTGTCGCCCTGTTGTTGTACAGTTTGGCCTTCAATTCTTTGTTTCCGCATTTCACTTTAATTCCTTCCGTGTAAAAGTGAGAGGCGTTGAGAAAATCTCCTTTTAAGCAAACCTCGTTACCTTCATTCTTGTAAACTTCAACTATCGCTGAAATAAAACAATTTAAGCAACATGCATTAAATTGAAAACTACTGTTGATTGTGGCCAAGGTATTTGAAAACAAAAGCGGATAAAATAAGTTTATCTTCTTTATCTTCACAAACTGTTTTCCAAAAGGGCTCTGGTATATGAAATGGTAGACCTCCTGTAGAAAATATTGCGAAAGAACATATCTCGTCACTTCAGACTGTTTTCATTACGAAGTGCCCGCATCACAGAAATAAATCTTACCCGAAATAACTTCAAAGAGAAGGAAAAAAAGCTTAAGACAACAAATCAAGCAGAACGTTTCGAAATATGATTACGAAGCCTCTTCTTGAAAAGAAAGCCGCACTAAGCTCACCTGTCAAAGTGTCGTCATCAAAATCAAGAGTTACTATTTCTTCTTCTTCTTCTTCTTCTTCTTTTTCTTCAGCGGGTGGTGTGACGTCATCCAAAGCTTTGCTTGAACCCTCCGCCATGAATGCTGAGAGTTTACATTCCACCGGTACCTGTACAACAATAATATACACACCAAGTTACGGTCTAAACACTGGAAAATCTGAGCTGACCTTTTTTTGTACTAAATTTCTATTCTTTTGCAGCGAAAGAGCCAGGTGTTTTTTCTGTAGCTGTGGTGGAAATGTTCGCCTCTGACCACGGGAAGTCATGATCGTGCACAGAGGGACACCATCAAAAATTCACCATGAAACTATGTAACGATGTCTTTTGTGATCGTTTTATTCTTGTATAATATTCTTCTGATAAAAAATATATCCGTCTTGTCTTCTTCACAGCTCTCGATCTCGTCTGGGTTCGTCACGCAACACCATATTTTCTTACTTGCATGACGAGCCCAAGCACAGCTGTGAAGAAAACTTTTAACCAACCAACAGCCACATAAGGTCCACCAAACTAATAATCCCTGATCAGATCCGTCTCATTTGGTCTTTTACTGCCAGTTCACCGAGTCATGAGGTCTTATTTCTTGGCAAATTATTGTTTGCCATTTAACAGCTATTTACGAAATAAAGGCAGTTAAAGGCCACTTAAACACAATGATTTTGATACGTTAAAATCTTCCCTTGTCCACATTTTCCCAAACGTTTGAGAACTTTAAACGGTAATCTGGGCTAAACATCAACTTGATTTCGTATTCCCTTTTCTTTGACCACAGATTGAGCAATTATATCTTTGCTTTAAACTGCCACCGCTTCCGTTGCTCTCTCAAGATCCTTGTTTAGTCAATACAAAACACTAACTTTGACTGTCATATTAGTTTACGATTTATAGTTCGTGATTTATCGACAAATATAAACACTCTTTAGGTGTAGAATTAACTCTAAATTCTTCATGCTACATTTGGCAACGCCTCGTGCATTATTTGAACGTTTCGCTTATTCTACATCTGTCATCACATAGTGGATTTTTCTTGTTACTTTTAAGTTAAACCACTCACATCAGTGTCTAATTGTTTAGAAAATAGCTGGAGAATGAATAATACTGTAATATTGACAGTGGGGCTACATTAATCCAGTTTTAAGTCGCCTTTATTTTTCAGGAAACGTGTTTATCAAAACATCGAAATAAGTTCTCTGGACGCATTCAAAGAATTCGCACAAAAGTTCTCGCAGTGATCAATCTGTCAGGGGTGAGCAAGGAAGAAAATTGTCAGTCTGAATGTGTAATTTTTTCTCCCAGCCGATTACATGAAGGTTACTCACAACGAGTTAAAAAAAACAGCGATTTATATTTGTTTACATATGGTCTTCGATCGTTTGCCATATGATTCTGAAAAACTGAAATTTTCCTTCTCGAGATGTAACGTTTGATGACAACAGCAAGTGCCCTCAATCTCACGAATGATAATTTCTAAAAGTGATATTTGTTATTTTGGAATTGCTCATCGGACTTGAAAAATTCAAGCTTCGACTGGGTTTAAACACGTGCCTGCTTGATATATATACTGATTACGTTAGGCGCAATTTCCAAGCGAGTTTCCACGCAAGTTTCAATTCTTTTTTTGTAATAAGTTCTTCAAGCATCATCCTCAGATTGAATACGATTTTATTCATGTTTTTTTTGAGACTAAAATTGAAAATGGCAACCGATTCCTTTCTTACATGGATGGTCGTTTCCATCAACAACAGTAATTGACGTGTCGATGAGTGTGGTACGATAAATTATCAGTACTTACTTTCAGGAGACGCTTGTTCAACAAAGATGACGCTTTCAAGTTTATTGGGTTTTTGTGATAGTTTAACCTGAAAACAGATAAAGTGGAAAACAAATAATTAGTATAGGAACAATGATTTCTCAAAATGTTATCATGTTGCACGAATGAAGCTACCTCCACATTTCATTTATTTATTCCCTAATTTGTGAAAAAAGTTTCATGATTTTGTCAAAAACTGTTGATGACAAGTAAAACACACACAAAAAAATTATTGCTCACTAACCTCAAGCCAAAAAGTAAACGCCAAAACCAAGATCAGCCGATGAAGTCAAATGTCTATATCAAGTAGATGTTTGTTTGCAAATAATCGTGACGAGGTATAAAACGTCTTACCAGAGATGTTATGTAAAGACTTTGACGGGAGACAAGTTTCATTTTCTAACTTTTATTTAACTCCTTTGATCAGTAGGAATGATTAAACTGGTGTTCTCTCCGAAGAGAAGTTTGTCGGAATTTAACGTTTCATCAAAATTTTATGCCAGTGAAAAACAAGACATATTTCAACTAGCTATTTTCGCTCGCGGACAGTTTCCTACCTCTAAACCTTAAAATCTCATTGGTAGTCTGAATAACGGTGTATCGAAACTGTAAAGAGAACTTACATGATGATCAGTCAGGACGTGGAAAATTTCACCTTTATGTCTGATTTTGAATGGCTCTTTTTATTTCAAAACTTTTGTCAACGATACAAGGTTAAAATGCTGTCATTTAATTTTTTAATTTACAATGTTTTGAATTTTTTTTCGTTTGAAAGATAACCATCGGTTATTTGTAAGCCAGTTACTGCTTTAGTTTTTAGAATGCAACTAGATTTATCAGCGTCACCGAAATCCACACAGGTATGTGATCAACGGGAAAAAAAGAAGAAAAGAAAAAACATGAAAAACTACAACATATCAATGTTCATGTCAATTCGCGGCTCATTCACGGTAAGTGCTTGATCGATCAGTTACCATTCTACCAAGGAGGACAGTCAGGTAATCTGGGATCGAATGACATCAAAGTGGTCAGTGGAGTGTGCGCAGGCTCGCGTGAGAAGAAATTGAGACTGATTGAGACTGTGTTGTTAGTTATGATTCGGAGTAAATTGTTCACAGTATTTTTCAGGCTTTGATTTATAACGATCAAGATATTTGAAATGGAAAGGAAATAATACAATGAACATGGCTTCGGTCAAGGTAGCAGTAAGAGTGAAACCCCCTTAATAAAAGGTAAGCCAAAATGAAGCATTTGATTCGACCGTTCTAGCAGAACGCTGGTTAAAAATTCTCGGTGATCGATGTCAGGCGTTTAAATATCCGTTAAATGTATCCGTTGGGAAATAAGTATGTCGCTGTTGGCAATACTTGTTGAAAACTGCGACGAAATTTTTAGAAATGAAGACTTTGATCTAAATTTAATAGACTTCTTTGTTTTGCATATCAGTGTGCTAAACGCCAGAAAAAAATCCGGTGAGCTGGAATACACAATGTCGATGTAAAATCTGATTATAAAATTAATGTTTTGTGGGGTTAAACATAAATCCAATGAAAAAGATAGTCACGTTGGTACAACTGAACTTGGTAAGAATCTTCTTTCAAATGACCAGCATTAATTAGATTATGTGACACAGTTCATAGACATGATTAAGTAAAAAGAAAAACGAGATCAAGAGAGTTTATTGTGAGATTGAGTATATCTTTGTACTGTACATAGCAATAGAATTGAATTTTGTGATTGTAGTGTGAGAGTATATTTCCCCACACTTTTGAATAATAATGGATAATACATTTGTTTAAATAGAATAGTTGTTAGAATAGTTATTCATGGTCTACACTTCGAATCTGTGGAAACAAGCCAGGTAAATTATGGCTGATATAGAAAAAAATGTGCACAAATATACTCATAAACTTTCCAGTGTAAGTATTGAGGAGCAATCAACTTGTTATTTTTAAGTGCTGTTTTTATGATGATTTGGGTCTTTGTAAACTGGCAAGCTTTGGAAGTTTGAAATTTTAAGTGTAACTAAAATTTTCAAAAAGCTTGACATTTACTTCGTTCTCTGTTATTCCTTCAGATGTGTGAAGATTTGGGTACTGATGTGATACAGGCAGCATTTGAGGGTTACAATGCCTGTATTTTTGCTTCTGGTCAGACGGGAGCCAGTAAATCCTACAGTATGATGGGACAGGAGGTAACAAAACACAATTAACTATTACTTTACATCAAAGACCTGTGGGACCATTGTTAATTTTGGTGTCCATAATAGCACTCTTTCATTATGCATTCTGATTGTATAGGTGAGAGATGATCCAAGAAGGACTGTTGTTTGTGATTGTGATGGATGTTTTGACAACCTCAGCAAAAATCGTTGTCTGAGAAGCTCTGTTATTGTTTTTGGCTAAGGTTGTTGAAAATTTAGTCTCTAGTGTTGACAACAGTCCTTCTCAAGATTGCATGTACTTTCATGCAAATGATCTGAAGACTACATAATAAAATGTTACTTTCTGGTTTAAACCATTTCCTGTTCAAAGTAATAACAATAATCTGCCATTTTGGTAGATGATAAAGATGGGCCAGTTTTTTATTGTTTAGTGTCAATGTCTTTTTTTATGATATAGCAGTTCCATTAATTCATTGTTCACATGTACAAATGCTTCCAGTAGATTTTTTAACTTTGTGCGATATGGGGGTCAAAATTCTGCCACAGGCAAAGTTGTTTCCATACAGTTCTTAGTAGTTTTTTGAAGAGATTCTTCTTATGTGAATTAAAAAAAATCACATTTTGACTTGCAAATGACAATACATGTAAGAAAATGATTTCATTTGTAAACCACAATTGAAGAAATAGCTGAAAAAGAAGCCTGAAAAATAAAGCTGACATGATTGGTACATCTGCTTCTGGGATACTACTCTGTTGATACTGTCAACAAAGATAATAAGCTACATATTAACTCTTATAAGTGACCAAGACATAATTTCTCCTTACAATATTGATACAATATCAAGCTGGCAAGTGAGGAGAATGAAGAAAATATAATTATGTACATTAATATGTTTGATATTCCATGGTTGATGGAGCAGGATCCTACAGATAAAAGGCCAAGATCAATTATGTTTTCACATTGAACTGTCAAATTGCTAAAAATCAAATTTTTTTTTTTTCGGGTGATGAATTGTTATAGAACTAAATATTATCTAAAGCTTTTTGGCTGGGTCATGTAGAATGAAAATTTATCTGCCATCTTAAACTCTGCTTGGTTATGAAAGTTCATATGGGAATACTATAGAGGTCCACAGAGGTAATTTTTGAGGGGGAAGGGCTTTGGTGTTTTGATGTATATGTTCTTGTGTATGAACACTGTTCCTAACCTTTATTAATTGTGCATGGAAATCAAAGAGAGGTGAAGGCTCAACTTCATCCATATCCAAATGTTAAACTGTCTCCTGTAAGTTTGATGTTTGTGCAGTTACTGGTATCGAGATATGTCCAGAAGTGCATACAGTAACCAGAATGGTGCAAATTTGTCAAAATTGTCAAAACCATGAACATTCACTTGATTTGATGACATTTCATCAAATTTGCCATTTTTGTCACTGCATGCATTTCTGGACATAAGTGGAGGTGGGGTGGCCTCTCAAGGGAAATCATCCAATGGATAGCAGTGAGGCATTCAGATTGTGACACTTCCTTATCTAGCTTATAAATCTGCAGATAAATCCTCCTTCTAATCATATCAAAGATTATCAGTACTATTATCAGTTTTCTTTTTATCAGTCAGTTAGTCAGTCACTTAATTTAAAAGAAATCAGTCAAATTACTCAATGGTGAAGTATAGTTTTGATAAAATAATAATGGTTTGTCTTTTTTTGACAGGCCAGACTGAAAAAGCATTTGGAACACATCAACACATCATAGGTTAGTCTTGTGATGGTACATTCAAGAATGAAGATGTCGTTATTACTATGTACAAACAGAATTGCAAATTATGAGAAACCGATTTACCAGTAGCTACAAAACTTGAGTATCTAAAACAGTTCTGAGATACAACAAAAAGATGATAACATGCTGTACTTTCATAAAATGAAGAAAATCATCGTTAAAATAACAATGACTGTTATTAGTGAGTGATCTTTATTCTTAATGATGAGTTAAGAGCTTCTCTCCTTACAATCACGATGGATTTATTTTTTCAGGCTTTTGAAAAGTTTAGTTATCATGATTTTTTTTTCAACAAAATGATGCTACTGTTGTACAAAGAGGGCTTAACCCTTTAACTCTCATGGGTGACCAACACAGAATTTCTCCTTACAATATCAATACAATATCAAGCAGACAAGTGATGAGAAACAAGAAAAACATTAATGATGGGATTATTAGTTGATCCAATACCAAATTCTCCAAACTAACATCACAAGAACTATATGGCAGACAGTAAGGAGAATTGTTAATGAGATCTTGGGAGTTAAAGGATTAAGAGTTGTGATCAGCACAGCAAATCTCAGTGCCATGGACTGGGACCAGAAAACACAAGGGTACATGAAAGTTATATGTTGTTAATTCATATTATTAAAAAAGGTGCATTCCCCTTGAATATGACATCATATAACTAGCAGGGTTCTCAATAGAAGGTGGCAACCAGCAATTGATCACCGCTTACTTTGGGATTTATAGCTGCTTACTTTGTGTTTAAGTTGCTTTTCTTTTCTTTGTTTTGTTCTGCAAGTTTGCTTGAGTTGTTTCCGAATTTCTCTTCCATTTCTTGTACGACTGTGATCCAAACAAAACCGGGAAACTTGCTTACGGTTCTGGACTCAATCGATGAATGCCATTTTACTTGAGTCCAGGCATTCACAGTGAAACATGGTAACGAGGCCTCCTACTTTAGCAGTGGTCACCTCCTACTTAAAAATCTATTGAGAACCCTGAACTAGAACACTGTAAATGAAGAGCAGACTTGTTGAACATTTCCTTCTGGTTGGTAATCAGTATTTCTTCCTTTTGGTCTTTTTGTGTGTACTGTATCATATATTGGATTGAGAGGATTAATACCTTGAAAATAAATTAAAGTGGAACTGACTGCATTAATTTATAAAATAAAATGAACAAAAATCATGGTCGGTAAAATCCTAATTGAAAAGACAAGTTCCCATGCAGAAGATTCATGAGTGTAATGTTTGGTGCAATAACTGCATTCATTTGGTTCTTGAGGAAATTTTCCCCTTACAAGCAAATTTCCCTTCTTCCGGCACAACATGGCCTGCTGCATTCAATTGTTTCTTTTTCAGGGTTTGGATGAGTCCAGTGTTTCCTAAACTTTCCAAGTTATCTGGTGAAGAATCTACAAACTATTCACCAACTTATTTTATAGAGGATTTATTGGTAAGGAAATTGCCAAACTAAGGTTAATAATAGTTTGGCATGTGGATTTTATTTTTGATCATGGAGTATTTACATGTCAGATCAGGTCATGTGTGCATTTTTCTTTGTACAGAGACTGCATCTACAGTAAGTTTTTCACTCTGTTGTAGTCAGGTAGAGAGGGAATGTGGGATGTGACCCCTTTTTTGTTTTAGCTCAGATCTGGAAGGGTCAATGGGAGAAAAACTCTTTAAGGTCAAGGAAGGGTCAAAAAATTCCATTTTTTGTCAGGGGAAAGTAAAATTTTCAGGACAAGTACAGGGATGGTTAACATGTATACAGCTGGTCAATTTCATACTGTTTTGTATTTGTTTGGTCTGTTAGAGTTTTAGACATATTTTTTGGCAGGAAAAAGAAAGCAACAAATAGGGGGTTTTGCCTCGAGAGATCAAATCTCTTCTGAAAACTAAGCTAGATAGCTTTCCAAATTTTGAACACCTAACTGAAGAAGGAAGGCCAGTGGGGGGTGGGAAGGTCCTGATCCTGGTTCACATTTACTCTAAACAAATTTGAAAGGAATAACATCAAGTCTTCCCTTACCTTGCCTTCAGTAAAATTCATGTGTACAGTCACAGGTTAATTTTGAGCTTGATCTCTTTGCAACCCTCTACTGAAGAGATGCACTGTACAAGGAAAGTACCTTGAGGTTCTTTAAACTCAGTGGATCCCCAATGATGTGATGTCCAACAGCAAAGCTTCATCTTAATTAGTCTTAAACTGTTATAGGAATATTTGGCAGCATATGGGGGTAGTGCAGTAGATGAATGGAAGAAACATATTCAGGAACATGATATGTCATCTGCAAGGTATATTGTTCATTAAATATTTTTTCCTATTTGATCATTTGTTTTTCCATTCCATCAGGAAATTATTGAGTTGTCCTAGCCTCCTTATGATATTTTCTTCTGACATAATTTGTTGTTTTGATTTCTTTAGTTGTGGTTGAGACATTCAATTAAAATGTGCTCTGTTGGTAATAGGGGAGACTTTTGATTAATTTTAGGGTTCGCCTAATAGCCTCTGTTCCTGGGAGACACACTGGAGTCAATAAAACCAAATGGGGCCATCTTAAACTTGGTAAGGTGATCATGAATTATTGGTATAAATTAAGAAGTCTAAAATTTGGAATATGTTTGAGTTGTTAGCAAATATCACCCTTTAGCAAAGTTAGGTGCCTATCTAAAAGAGCATTAAAGTTTCACCCAATGGAATTGAACACATTTTTAATTCATCTAGCTATTAACCTTGAAAATAAGGTAATTGTCTTCTTTGAAACTTAGGTTCTTCACCCGCATGGGCCTAGCTCTGATGACATCAGCTCCAAGTGGCCTGTGATTGGTCAGTTTTCCAGCATAGGTTCCCTTGGGAACGACAAGGACCATTGGCTGTGTTCTGAATGGTTACAAAGCTTGTCCACATGTTCTGGTAACATGATGTCCAGTCCCCCTCTGCATCTGGTTAGTATGTTTCTCAATCTCCATTATGGTTGGAAACTGAACACTGATTTAATTTGCAAGTTTTTGTTCTGGATTAGAATATAATGGAAATTTTTTTCTTCTTGATTCATCATGTTTTATTTGCAGGTTTTTCCAACAGTGGACAATGTGCGGCACAGTTTGGAAGGTTACCCAGGTATAAGATATAACTTAAATTGAGTGTGTCTATTGAGGCAGAGTGGCTAAGTGGTTAGAGTGCTGGACTTGTAAACTGATGGCCTGGGTTCAATTCCTTCAACTTCAATTGGAACACACTGGATTTGTTATTATCATTATTATTATTGTTAGTTTTAATTAATTATTGTTATTTTTTTATTATCACTATTATCTTGATCACCAAACATCCAGGCATACACTTTTAAATTTAAAGTAATTACTGCAGTTTGTAGAAGCATATAAAGTGTCCACAGTGTTTGAGTTATGTATTTCTTTCTATATATATTTTCTTCTTCTAAACACTTCACAGCATACTCTTAGTAGTTCAAGTTTCATTTCTAGGTATAAATTATTGTGTGATGTCTGATGTTTTTCTCTGTAGCTGGTGGCTCAATACCATACAGCTCCAAGACAGCTTTGAAACAGCCTTATCTTTCAAGTTTCTTTTGGTAAGTCACCCTTAATTTGTTTTCTTTGGATTAGATTGGTTTTCATAGACCTCAGCTTCATCCCAATTCACATGACATGAAATCCATGAGTGCGGCATTGCAATTTAACCCTCCACCACCCACATCCTTCCTGAATTTGATAAAAATCAGCAGAACTTATGGAGTCTTTTATCTGGTGGGTGGCATCAGCATCCACTGCTGTGTAGGGATATGAACTTGTCTTGTCAGGGAACCCAGGCAGGGAATGTTCCTGATCCTTTCAATTTGGAGTCAAGCACATTCATCACTTGTCTCAGTATGCTTCACAAAATGGCAATTTTTCTCAATTTTCTTTTTGAATTGGACCATACTGGGGTGTAGGCTTAGTTAAAAGCCTTAGATCTATTTAAAAGTTACATCCAAGAAATTTTTACTCTATTTTGTTAGCATAGCTCTTCTCACATTCTTGAACAATATGATGGATTTTTGCCTTTTTTGCTTTTGGTTTTTTCAGCTCTTGGAAGTCTCATTCCTGTGGTAGAAGTTGCACCTCTCCTCGCATTAAAACATACACCAGGGTATCCCCAGATTGGAGCCGCATGAGCTGGTTTCTTGTGACAAGGTGATAAAAACTGAGTCCTCTCTGCAATTTATCTTTATTAAGTTATGCTGCTCTAGAAATTTTAGAAGTTGGAACTTCCATGCTTCATTATGTTTGGGGCTGTTTAAAGTTTGTTCAAAAATTATTTCAGTATAACAGTCAGAATCTTTTCAGGTTTGTCACTGTTGTCTTGGGTATGACTGATATAATTAAAAGAGTCTGAATATTGTCTGCTTTCCTTTGGAATCCCCCTGGGTATACCTGTGTGGTGTTTGTAGTCTTTCTAATTTGGCTAGAATGAGCAGAAGCTTTGGATTTCCCCTGTCTGTCTTTGGGCTATATCTGATTGGCCAAATCAAAATATCAAGCCAATTATTTTGAAAAGACAATGTTTTTAAAATGAAAGGTTGTTGGAGTCTTAAAAAATGGTCAGAGGATTTTTCTTGTGTCACAATAAAATTTACCTGATCCCCAACAAGGCTCTGTAATATTCTTATGATCCCCCTCCACCCTTTAACTCCCATGAGTGACCAAAACAGAATTTCTCCTTACAGAATCAATACAATATCAAGCAGACAAGTGGTGAGAATAAAGAAATATATCAATTTGGGGATAATTAGTTGATTCAATACTAAATTCTCTGAACTAACATGATAAGAACTGTATGGTTGACAGTAAGGAGAATTACAAATTTGATCTGGGTGTTAAAGGGTTAATTGGCAGTCAGTTTTTTTATGGTCAAGCCTTTATACTCTGTTGGTGACGGCAGATCTCCTCTCCTTTCCCCCTGAAAACCAGGTGATCCCTGGGCACATGCAGAGAGTCAGGTACTTAAAATCAGTGGTTCATCTATGAAAGTCTGGTATTTCATGTCATGTTTGTGTTTTGTCAAAACAGAATCTCCTTGGATGTGGGATGTCAAATACAACACACCTGATGGTCATGGTAGAATATGGTCACCATCATAATCACTGCAGTCAGGGAATCACTGGGTTAAAATGGACACAGAGGATGTCAGGGGGAGGGCAAAGGCAAAGGCAAAGGCCATATATACCTTTAAAAGAAATGAAACTCAGATTTTGTTGACACTCACTTTAAAGAAAATGTTAATTTTTGAAATACTCATGTCTTAAAAATCATGTTTTGATCAGAATTTCAGGCTTGAGTCATGCAAACCAAAATAAAAATAATTCTCACAGAGCCTGTTTCAGGTGTTCAGTTAACATCTTTGACTCCTAAGAGTGACCAGCATCCAGTTTCTCCTCACAATACCACCCCTGAATCAAAAAGTTAGGTCACTAGAATAAAAGGAAATGATCACCAAGTTAAGAAGCTCACTTGATTCTTAGATAAATTCTCCTTGTTGCTGCCTGAGGAAATGTATGGAGATCAGTATGGAGAATATACATACTGATGTTAGGGTGGAAAGGGTTAAATATCAAAGACAAAGAGTAATTATACTACAACAGTGACAGCCTCCTGCTCAGCAAGTCTCTGAAAGATCAATTATTGCAGACAAATTTATCATGTGATTGTTATTATCATCTATTTATTAATATATAATGCTTTTAAATATAAGTGATAAAAAAAGTACTTCATCTCAATCTGCCAGGCTTAAGATATGAGTAGAAAACAAATAAGTTTACCATTGTACTAGTTTTTCTTATTGACTCGGACTGTTTCCTTTTGACTAAAACTTTGTTTGGCTTTTTTACGGCAGTCACTTGAAACTACACATCTCCTTGCCTAGATAACCTAAATCTTTTCAAAGGGGAAACTGATAACTGTAGAATATGTGTATTCGCAAAACTTTGTTGTAAAAAATGTTGCTGTGTAAACAATCATCATAATTTCCCACGTGGGAAAGAATCAGAAGGAAAAGGTTAAAAATTTTTAAAAAAGTCTGCAAACTTGCAGAAACTCTTGCTTTCATTTCAGCTTATTATCGATGATACCTAGTTTTGTTTTTGCCTTACTCGGTAATTTTCTTCGATTGAAACTTTTAAATATGTAAATTTGTTTAATACCTAAGGTTAAAGTAGAGAAATACTCAGGAAACTCGCTAAGAAGTGAACCACAATCTTCGCGGGTCACGGGTATCTTGTGCGGGCCGAGGTAATCGCGGATCGCGAGTTTGTAACATGGGTCTATTTCCATTAGAAAAATTAAAAAGTATCACAAATTATATTGATCAAAACTCATAGAGATTTTCTTATTAAAAATATGCCTTATTCTCTGCTTAAACAAAAGCGAAGCACTAGAAGCTGAAGACTGAATTTGCAACTGGAAAAATCAGGGCTTCGTTTCAATTCATTAAGCGATCCTATTTTCAATTCAATTAGACTTAAAGGAATTGACCCAGTTAAGTTACCCACGAGTAAAGTTCACAGATTATTAAGCCTTCTCTCAATGCCCTCGTTGCGAGAACTTACTCCACTGGTTTTCATCGGTGGCTTGGACGTTAAAGGTTCATTTTATGGCGCCTGTTCCAGTTTTTCTTGATCCTTAACTTCCGCCAGTGATACTTGTTCTTCTTGTGATCTGAAATTAAAAGGAGATTACTGTCATTGAGCTGAAAAAATCACTTGGAACCAAGTGTGAAGTTAATGCTAGCTCCCTCGTTTGTCTTTAAGCTTTTTTTCTTATACGCTGAGAATGCACGAGCAGAGCACATCTGATAACTCGATTAACGAAATTTAGTTTACTTTTAAATGCGTGCTCCTTCTCAGTAGAGTAGAGAGGACGACGTCGCCAATAAAACACCGCCTCATTAATCTGTTGTTTTCATCGTTTCTTTTTTTTCGTTCTTTTATGTGTGTACTGTAATGTTTTACGTCAACAGTGTCTTCTACACCAACTTATAAAAGCCAAAATGTCTCGTGACCACCATTCTTTAGAAAGGGTTATAGTCGACCTTCTTGCTCAGTTTAGTAAAAGTATTTCACATGAAGGTGGAATGATTGAAGTCCTATTTGTAAATTTCTACTCACGATTCATTGTTGATTTCTTTAAAATCGATTGTGACGTCATCACCAATGAGTACAAACGGAGCCCAGAACCGCGGGGCATTAAAGTCTTCTGATTCTCGCAGACATTTCATCGCCCGGTTGAGTGACACGCTGGCGCTGTTTCCATCCTTCAGATGTTGGTAAAAGCTTCTCATAAACTCCATGGTAGCCTCGTCATCAATTGACCAGAGTGCGACCAGAACAGAACGAGCACCAGCACCAATGAAAGCCCGTGCAATGCCGACCACACCCTCACTTGACACCTTGCCTTGGGCACTGTGACAACAACTTAACACAACAAGCTTTGCACGTAACTTCGCTGCTTGCACATCGGAAATTGTTAGCATGAAATCTTGTTCTTCTGGTCTGACGTATTTTCGTTCTGGATTTGGAGCCAATGCAATTTCCCCAGTCTTCATTTCTCCGTGCGCAGCAATGTGCACCAAAGCAACCGAACCGATTCTCTTTAGCACCTCAGCCTTGGTTGCCTCTTTTCCTGTGAGTGGGTGGATACCAAGCATCGCTCCGATCATCTCCACTTCCTTTTTGGCCCAGGGCAAGGGCGGATATCTATTCTCTCCGAGCAAGGTGGTAAAGTCTTTTAGACATGGATCTCCTACGAGCAACGCCCCACTCTTGTTGTGATATTCTTTGGGAGAAGCGTTGATCAGTTTCATACACATCAATGACGGAAGAATGCGTATCCTCATGGACTCACTGAGGTACTTTGATTCGGAATCCAAAAATGCAGCAAAAGGGGCGAGGCACAGTGGACCATCAGGAACGACAACCAACTCGCCATCTTCGATCAAATCTGAAATAGGACTTATGATGCACTCATGAAAGAGACGCAGAGGATTCTCGTCAGACTGTAATGGGTTTCCTGTTTCCTCACCTCTTTCCTCGGCGGGTGGCAATTCTTGTTCGGTACTTGACCCGTCTAATGTGCGGTTTTCGCAGATTACCCTGAATCTTCCTCGAATTTCCTTGTACGCCTTCTTCCTTAAGCAATTCAAATAGTCGGTCGCATCTCCAAGGAGATATTTCACTTCTTTCTTTGTAAACTGTACATTCCTGTCTTTCCCGATTACCCACAGGTTAACTGCGTTTCCTAATAGTGCAACAAAAAGCGTCGGACCAGAGATATTAGTGACCATTTCGGAGATCCCTGGTTTAGCCTGAACTGATCCAGAAACTGCCAGTTGGGATCCATATCGTAGTTTGATGAGATCCAACAAGGCCTCGGCTCGTCCTTGGTCCGCAGCACACAATGCCTCGTCGAATTTTGACAGCTTAAGCAAGGTTCTGCAGAGTGACTGGTAAATGTCTTGACGTGCATTGCGGAAGATTACTTTTAACGCATCGTCAACTTGCAGAACTCTCAACTCATTGAAAAGTTTAGTACTGCGTTGATAATAATCAACCGCTTGATGCAAGTCTCCAGAGCTTTCATAAGTACGACCTAAATTGGCTAAATAATTTCCCACGATTATTCTCTGCCCCGATTTCTGAACCATATTAAGACATTTCTTGTTGTACTCGATGGCTCGTTCAAAGTCACCCTGTTTACGAAGAACTTCCACAAAACTGGCGTAGACCATTGCCTCCATTTCCTGGTCTCTCAGTTCTTTGGCCATGGTAAGCGCTTTCTCAAGATACTCTGTTGCCTGGTTAAAATCATCCCGTCGAGCATTAACAGTTCCAATAAGGACATAGGCTTCAAGCTCGTTTTTCCTGTCTCCTATGCGTTTAGCGATTTTAAGGTAATCCTGGAAAAACTGCATGGCTTGAAACAATTTGCCCATTGACATATAACTTTTACCAACAACTTTTAAAGCGTTTGACCTTACTAGCGGTTTTCTAGCAATACTTAGACATTTTCTGGCGTTCTCTATGGCAAGATTAAAATCACCCAAGTCGTGATAAGCCTCACCAAGCAGGCAAAAGGCACACTCCTCCTCTGTCCTGTCTTCCGGTTCTTTAGGAATACTAAGATGTTGCCTGAGGTACTCTATGGCTCGATTGAAATCACCCAGCTTCTGATGAGCCGAGCTAAGGTTGTTGTAGATCACTCCCTCGCCTGCCTTATTTCCCAGCTCTCTAACAAGATTAAGACTTTTGCTGAGGTACTCTATGGCTCGATTGAAGTCACCCAGCGTCCCATAAGCGAAGCCAAGATTGTTGTAAGCACTTCCCTCGCCTGCCTTATCTCCCAGCTCTCTAACAATATTAAGACATTTCCTGAGGTACTTTATGGCTTGATTGAGGTCACCCAGCCCATAACTAGCAGAGAAAAGTTGGTTGTAGGTACGTCCCTCGCCTGCTTTGTCTCCCAGATGTTTAGCAATACTAAGATGTTGTTTGTGGTATTCTATGGCTTGATTGAAATCACCCAGCTTGTCATAAGCCGAGCCAAGATTGTGGTAGGCACGGTACTCGTCTGCCCTATCTCCCAGTTCCTTAGCAATACTGAGATGGTGTTTGTGGTACTTTATGGCCTGATTGAAATCACCCAGCTCGTCATAAGCCGAGCCAAGATTGTGGTAGGTCCTTCCCTCGCCTGCCCTGTCTCCCAGTTCTTTAACAATATTAAGATGTTGCCTGAGGTACTCTATGGCTTGATTGAAGTCACCCAGGTCATAACTAGCCAAGCCAAGATTGTGGTAGGCATTTACCTCGCCTGCCCTGTCTCCCAGTTCTTTGGCAATACTAAGATGTTGTTTGTGGTACTCTATGGCTTGATTGAAATCACCCATCTCGTGATAAGCTGAGCCAAGATTGTGGTCGGCACTTCCCTCGCCTGCCCTGTCTCCCAGCTCTTTGGCAATATTAAGATGTTGCCTGAGGTACTCTATGGAATGATTGAAATCGCCCAGCTCATAAGTAACCAAGCCAAGATTGTTGTAGGCACTTCCCTCGCCTGCCCTGTCTTCCAGTTCTTTGGCAATACTAAGATGTTGTTTGTGGTACTCTATGGCTGGATTGAAATCACCCATCTTGTGATAAGCTAAGCCAAGATTGTTGTCGGCACTTCCCTCGCCTGCCCTGTCTCCCAGTTCTTTAGCAATACTAAGATGTTGTTTGTGGTACTCTATGGCTTGATTGAAATCACCCATCTTGTGATGAACTGAGCCAAGATCGTGGTCGGCACTTCCCTCGCCTGCCCTGTCTCCTAGCTCTTTAGCAATATTAAGATGTTGCCTGAGATACTCTATGGCTTGATTGAAGTCGTCCAGCTCATAAGTAGCCAAGCCAAGATTTTTGTAGGCACTTCCCTCGCCTGCCCTGTCTCCCAGTTCTTTAGCAATACTGAGATGTTGTTTGTGGTACTTTATGGCTTGACTGAAATCACCAATCTTGTGATAAGCGGAGCCAAGATTGTAGTAGGCTCGTCCCTCGTCTGCCCTGTCTCCCAGTTGTTTAGCAATATTGAGATGTTGCCTTATGTACTCTATGGCTTGATTGAAGTCACCCAGCTCATAAGTAGCCGAGCCAAGACTGTTGTAGGCATGTCCCTCGCCTGGCCTGTCTCCCAGCTCCTTAGCAATTCTAAGATGCTGCTTGTGGTAGTCTATGGCTTTATTGAAATCACCCATCTTGTGATATGCTGCGCCAAGATTGTGGTCGGCACGTTTCTCGCCTGCCCTGTCTGCTAGTTCTTTGGCAATACTAAGATGTTCTTTGTGGTACTCTATGGCTTGATTTAAGTCGCCCAGCTCATAAGTAGCCGAGCCAAGACTGTTGTAGGCATGTCCCTCGCCTGGCCTGTCGCCCAGCTCCTTAGCAATTCTAAGATGTTGTTTGTGGTACTCTATGGCTTGATTGAAATCACCCATCTTGTGATAAGCTGAGCCAAGACTGTGGTCGGCATTTCCCTCTCCTGCCCTGTCTCCTAGTTCTTTGGCAATATTAAGATGTTGCCTGAAGTACTCTATGGAATGATTGAAGTCGCCCAGCTCGAAAGTAACCAAGCCAAGATTGTTGTAGGCACTTCCCTCGCCTGCCCTGTCTCCCAGTTCTTTGGCAATACTAAGATGTTGTTTGTGGTACTCTATGGCTTGATTGAAATCACCCATCTTTTCATAAGCTGAGCCAAGATTGTTGTAGGCACTTCCCTCACCTGCCCTGTCTCCCAGTTCTTTGGCAATACTAAGATGTTGTTTGTGGTACTCTATGGCTTGACTGAAATCACCCATCTTGTGATAAGCGGAGCCAAGATTGTTGTGGGCATGTCCCTCGTCTGCCCTGTCTCCCAGTTGTTTAGCAATATTAAGATGTTGCCTGAGGTACTCTATGGCTTTATTGAAGTCACCCAGCTTATAACTAGCCGAGGCAAGATGGTCGTAGGCACGTCCCTCGCCTGCTTTGTCTCCCAGTTCTTTAGCAATACTAAGATGTTGTTTGTGGTACTCTATGGCTTGATTGAAATCACCCAGCTCAACATAAGCTGAGCCAAGATTGTTGTAGGCACGTCCCTCACCTGCCCTGTCTCCCAGTTCTTTGGCAATACTAAGATGTTGTTTGTGGTACTCTATGGCTTGATTGAAATCACCCATCTTGTGATAAGCTGAGCCAAGATTGTGGTCGGCATATCCCTCGCCTGCCCTGTCTCCCAGCTCTTTAGCAATATTAAGATGTTGCCTGAAGTACTCTATGGAATGATTGAAGTCGCCCAGCTCGAAAGTAACCAAGCCAAGATTGTTGTAGGCACTTCCTTCGCCTGCCCTGTCTCCCAGTTCTTTGGCAATACTAAGATGTTGTTTGTGGTACTCTATGGCTTGATTGAAATCACCCATCTTTTCATAAGCTGAGCCAAGATTGTTGTAGGCACTTCCCTCACCTGCCCTGTCTCCGAGTTCTTTGGCAATACTAAGATGTTGTTTGTGGTACTTTATGGCTTGACTGAAATCACCCAGCTTCTGATAAACGGAGCCAAGATTGTGGCAGGCACGTCCTTCGTCTGCCCTGTCTCTCAGTTGTTTAGCAATGTTAAGATGTTGCCTGAGATACTCTATGGCTTGATTGAGGTCACCCAACTCGTAACTACTCCAGAAAAGATGGCCGTAGGCACGTTGCTCGCCTGCTTTGTCTCCCAGTTGTTTAGCAATACTAAGATGTTGTTTGTGGTACTCTATGGCTTGATTGAAATCACCCATCTTTTCATAAGCTGAGCCAAGATTGTGGTCGGCATATCCCTCGCCTGCCCTGTCTCCCAGCTCTTTAGCAATATTAAGATGTTGCCTGAAGTACTCTATGGAATGATTGAAGTCGCCCAGCTCGAAAGTAACCAAGCCAAGATTGTGGTCGGCATATCCCTCGCCTGCCCTGTCTCCCAGCTCTTTAGCAATATTAAGATGTTGCCTGAGGTACTCTATGGCTTGATTGAAGTCGCCCAGCTCATAAGTAGCCAAGCCAAGATTGTGGTAGGCACTTCCCTCGTCTGCCCTGTCTCCCAGTTCTTTGGCAATACTAAGATGTTGTTTGTGGTACTCTATGGCTTGATTGAAATCACCCATCTTTTCATAAGCTGAGCCTAGATTGTTGTAGGCACTTCCCTCACCTGCCCTGTCTCCGAGTTCTTTGGCAATACTAAGATGTTGTTTGTGGTACTTTATGGCTTGACTGAAATCACCCAGCTTCTGATAAACGGAGCCAAGATTGTGGCAGGCACGTCCTTCGTCTGCCCTGTCTCTCAGTTGTTTAGCAATGTTAAGATGTTGCCTGAGATACTCTATGGCTTGATTGAGGTCACCCAACTCGTAACTACTCCAGAAAAGATGGCCGTAGGCACGTTGCTCGCCTGCTTTGTCTCCCAGTTGTTTAGCAATACTAAGATGTTGTTTTTGGTACTCTATGGCTTGATTGAATTCACCCATCTTGTTATAAGCGGAGCCGAGATTGTTGTAGGCGCTTCCCTCGCCTGCCCTGTTTCCCAGTTGTTTAGCAATACTGAGATGTTGTTTGTGGTACTTTATGGCTTGACTGAAATCAATTAGCTTCTGATAAACGGTGCCAAGATTTTGGCAGGCACGTCCTTCGTCTGCCCTGTCTC